CCAATGGATGAATGGATAAAGGAGCTGTGGTACCTCTATATAACAGAATATTACTAAGCCATAAGAAGAATATATTTGTGTCAGTTCATATGAGGTGAATGAACCTGGAGCCTATTATACACAGTGGAGTAAGTCAGAAAAAGAAAGACAAATGTTGTATATTAATGCAAATATATGGAATTTAGAAAGATGGCACTGATGAAACAATTTGCAGGGCAGCAGGGAGATGCAGATGTATAGAACAGACTTGTGGACACAGTGGGATAAGGGGAGGGTAGGGCAAATTAATAGAGTTGAATGGAAACATGCCTGTTGCTATATGGAAAATAGATAGCTAGTAGGAACTTGCTATTATGATAGAGGGAGCTCAAATCCGGTGCTCTGTGACTTCTTTAAGAGGAGGTTTAGAGTGGAAGGTGGGCAGTAGGTTTAAGAGGGAGGGGACACATGTATACCTATGGATGATTAACGTTGATGTATGAAAGAAACCAGCACAATATTGTAAAGCAATTATCCTGCATTTAAACATATATAAGTTTTTTTAACGCAGGGAGGGGGGAAGCCATTGTTTAGTTCTTACCAAAAACCAGGAACTGTGCTAAACAACAAGTTCACTTCAGTTCAATCACTCAGTCATGTCCAACTCTTTGAGACCCCATGGACTGCAGCACACCAGGGCTCCCTGTCCATCACCAGCTCCCGGAGTTTACTCAAACTCATGTCCATTGAGTCAGTGATGCCATCTAACCATCTCATCCTCTGTCATCCCCTTCTCCTGCCCTCAATCTTTCCCAGCATCAGGATCTTTTCCAATGAGTCAATTCTCATCAGGTGGCCAAAGTATTGGAGTTTCAGCTTCAGCATCAGTCCTTCCAATGAATATTCAGGACTGATTTCCTTTAGGATGGACTTGTTGGATTTCTTTGTAGTCCAAGGGACTCTCAGCAGGCTTCTCCAACACCACAGCTCAAAAAAAGCAGTTCTTCAGTGCTCAGCTTTCTTTATAGTCCAACTCTCACATCCATTCATGACTACTGGAAAAACCATAGCTTTGACTAGACAGACCTTTGTCAGCAAAGTAATGTCTCTGCTTTTTAATATGCTGTCTAGGTTGGTCATAAATTTTCTTCCAAGGAGCAAGTGTCTTTCAATTTCATGGCTACAGTCACCATCTGCAGTGATTTTGGAGACCAAAAAGATAAGGTCTGTCACTGTTTCCACTGTTACCCCATCTGTTTGCCATGAAGTGATGGGACCAGATGCCATGATCTTAGTTTTCTGAATGTTGAGTTTTAAGCCAACTTTTTCACTCTCCTGTTTCATTTCCATCAAGAGGCTCTTTAATTCTTCTTCACTTTCTGCCATAAGGGTGGTGTCATCTACATATCTGAGATTATTAATATTTCTCCTGGCAATCTTGATTCCAGCTTTTGCTTCATCCACTCCAGTATTTCTCATGATATAATCTGCATATAAGTTAAGTAAGCAGGGTGAAAATATACAGACTTGATATACTCCTTTCCCAATTTGGAACCAGTCTGTTGTTCCATGTCTAGTTCTAACTTTGCTTCTTGACCTGCATACAGGTTTCTCAGGAGGCAGGTGAGGTAGTCTGGTAGTCCCATCTCTTTAAGAATTTTCCAGTTTTTTGTGACCCACACAGTCAAAGGCTCTGACATAGTCAATAAAGCAGGCAAATTTGGCCTTGGAGTACAGAATGAAGCAGGGAAAAAGCTTGTAGAGCCTTGCCAAGAGAATACACTGGTCATAGCAATCACCCTCTTCCAACAACACAAGAGAAGGCTCTACATGTGGGCATCACCAGATGGTTAATGCCGAAATCAGGTTGATTATATCCTTTGCAGCCAAAGATAGAGGAGTACTACACAGTCAGAAATAAACAAGACCCAGAGCTGATTGTGGCTCAGATTTTGAATTCCTTATTGCCAAATTCTGAGTTAAATTAAAGAAAGTAGAGAAAACCACTAGACCATTCAGGTATGACCCATATCAAATCCCTTACAGTTATACAGTGGAGAGGCAAATAGATTCAAGGGATTAGATCTGATAGACAGAGTGTCTGAAGAACTATGGACAGAGGTTTGTGACATTGTACAGGAGGCAGTGATCAAGTTCATCCCCAAGAAAAAGAAATTTAAAAAGGCAAAATGCTCATCTGAGAAGGCCTTACAAATAGCTGAGAAAAGAGAAGCAAAAGTCAAAGGAGAAAAGGAAAGACATATCCATTTGAATGCAGAGTTCCAAAGAATAGCAAGGAGAGATAAGAAAGCCTTCCTCAGCAATTAATGGAAAGAAATAGAGGAAAAAGATAGAATGGGAAAGACTAGAGATTTCCTCAAGAAAATTAGAGATGCCAAGGGAACATTTCGTGCAAATATGGGCTCAATAAAGGACAGAAATGGTATGGACCTAACAGAAGCAGAAGATATTAAGAAGGGGTGGCAAGAATACACAGAAGAACTGCACAAACAAGAGCTTCATGACCCAGATAATCACGATGGTGTGATCACTCACCTAGAACCAGACATCCTGGAATGAGAAGTCAAGTGGACCTTAGGAAGCATCACTACGAGGAAAGCTAGTGAAGGTGATGGAATTCCAGTTGAGCTATTTCAAATCCTAAAATATGATGCTGTGAAAGTGCTGCACTCAATATGCCAGCAAATTTGGAAACTCAGCACTGGCCACCAGACTAGAAATGGTCAGTTTTCATTCCAGTCCCAAACAAAGGCAATGCCAAAGAATGCTCAAACTACCACACAATTGCATTCATCTCATGCTAGCAAAGTAATGCTACAAATTCTCCAAGCCAGGCTTCAACAGAACATGAACCGTGAACTTCCAGATGTTCAAGCTGGTTTTAGAAAAGGCAGAGGAACCAGAGATCAAATTGTCAACATCCATTGGCATCCATGGCAAAAAAGCAACAAGTAAGCAACACTTAATTTAGTTTTCAAACAAAGCAGATATTTAAGTTTTTGTTTTTCAGAGAATTGAAGGAAATAAGGGATTATCCCCAGGTCAGACAGCAAGTATAATGTTGAATTAAATTTTCAATCCACTACTGTGTAACTTAGTATAATAACCAATAAGAATGATGAAATCATGAAATTTGGGAACTGGAATAAATGTTAAACCTAAATGAATTCAACCAGGTGCTTGTATCTTTAAACAATATTTGCTACACAATTGACCATTCAGGATGACCACAAGCATTTTGACTATAAGATCATAGTCTGTCTGATGATTGGAATGTTAAACCTTTGTTGTGAAACCAAATAATTCTTCCTACGGTTTCAAGCAGTTAATGTTACTTTAAACTCTTAAGACATACAAAGACATACCTCTAAAATAAGTCAATACATTTAATATTGAGATGACTGTTATGTGCCATGTGTAGTTTTGCTCTGCTAAAAAAAATGTCTTCAGCTATTTCAGTCATTCTAAAATGCCTATTTCTATATCATCTTTATGAAGCTGTCAAGTTTTTCCCTATCATATAAAATAGTGTACCTCAAATTGAGCACACTAATCAAACTATTGCTTGAGCATTAAGTAAGAACATGAGTTTCCACTTTCTGTGATCTTACTAATTTTGGCATCACCAATTCGATGGACATGAGTTTGAGTAAGCTCCAGGAGTTGGTGATGGTGATGGGCAGGAAATCCTGGCCTGCTGCAGTCCATGGGGTTACAAAGAGTCAGACATGACTGAGTGACTGAACTGAACTGAAACTTCTTCATAAATTTAAACTGAAAACACATTGCTTTTTTTTTTTAAATACTCTAGTTAATGTAACTGTTGCTAGTTATTGTAACTCATTGGTCTTTATAAAAATACTCTATCTAATGTTAACTAATGTTTACCAAAATTTCTACTTGTGTTTTTCATATCTTCTACTAATTCATATCCCCACTGTCTTTGAATTCTATGGCGAACATATGCAAAACACATGATTATTGAAAAAAAACCCACATCATAAATGACCCTTAGTGTTTGTCTTCAAAAGCCATTATTATATTTTGGAAATATGAATAATTATCTGACTACCAGTACTTCAACCATGAAGCTCAAATTGCCTAAACCATTCTTAGTGCACTGCTCCCAGGGTCAGAGTGGTGGAATATATGACTTAAATTTATGCTGTTACATTATGTTCCCTTGGAGTATCCAAATTAGAAATAGGAGCAGGGTTCCTGGGACTTGGAAAAGCTGTTGAGATATAAATACTATGCCTGTTAATCAGTTGTGTTTCTAAACTCCTGGGTCATGGTCCAGGCTAGAAGAAGGTGACCACTAAAGCAGCAGATCTCAGATGGAATGAAGCTGATAGTTGACCAGCCCTTTTGAAATTATAGAGCTTCTCTGGTAGCTCACCTGATAGTCTTCCTGCAATACAAGAGACCCTGGTTCAATCCCTGGGTCAGGAAGATCCCCTAGAGAAGGGATAGGTTACACACTTCAGTATTCTAGGGCTTCCCTTGTGGTTCAGTTCATAAAGAATCCGTCAGCAATGCAGGAGACCTGGGTTTGATCCCTGGGTTGAGAAGATCCCTTGGAGAAGGGAGAGGCTACCATTCTGAGTGAAATGAAAATACTGGCCATTTGACATGCATTATATTAATATAGACACATTGGATATGAAAGGAAAAGAAAACTCCTCAGAAATAAGAGTAGTAACATTTGTTCTGACTGACTTTAAAAATCCAGAATTGGTGTCTTCTTTTAAAATAGTATTCGATATCTTAATTATAATTTTCTTGAAGTCTATACTTTCTATTCTAGTACAACCAGAATCATTGATTTTCACGAGAACCCCACATTATGAACCTTCTCTGATGAGGGATAAAGTAATGATCTCTCCAGAATTACTCTCCCTCACGCACACACATGTACATACATACACACACACAGAGGAACACAAAAATACACTCATCTTTTTTTTTTTTTTTTAATACTTAGAATTACGGAGAGAATAATGGATGCTGGAAATCACTCCTCAGTGACTGAGTTCATCCTCGCTGGGCTTACAGAACAGCCACGACTCCAGCTGCCCCTCTTCTTCCTCTTCCTGGGAATCTATGTGGTCACGGTGGTGGGGAACCTGGGCATGATCACACTGATTAGGCTCAGTTCTCACCTGCACACTCCCATGTACTATTTCCTCAGCAATTTGTCCTTTATTGACTTCTGTCAGTCCACTGTCATTACCCCCAAGATGCTGGTCAACTTTGTGACAAAGCAGAACATAATTTCTTACTCTGAATGCATGACTCAGCTTTACTTCTTCAGCACTTTTGCTATTGCAGAGTGTCACATGTTGGCTGCAATGGCATATGACCGCTATGTTGCCATCTGCAACCCCTTGCTTTACAATGTCATCATGTCTTATCACATCTGCTTCTGCCTCACAGTAGGAGTTTATATTTTGGCCATCATTGGATCCACAATCCATACAGGATTTATGTTGAGACTCCTTTTCTGCAAGAACAAGGTGATTAACCATTATTTCTGTGATCTCTTCCCACTCTTGGAACTATCCTGTTCCAGCATCTTCATCAATGAATTATTGGTTCTAGTCTTGAGTGCATTTAACATCCTGACTCCTGCCTTAACCATCCTAACATCCTACATCTTCATTCTCCGCAGCATCCTCCAAATCCACTCCCCTGAGGGCAGGTCCAAAGCCTTCAGCACCTGCAGCTCTCATATCTCAGCTGTTGCTGTTTTCTTTGGATCTGCAGCATTCATGTACCTGCAGCCATCATCTGTGAGCTCCATGGATCAAGGAAAAGTGTCCTCTGTGTTTTATACCTGCATTGTTCCCATGCTAAATCCTCTAATTTACAGTCTGCGTAATAAGGATGTCAGATTTGTCTTGGAGAAAATTCTGGAAAGAGGAAAATATATATGATTAGAATCAATAGCATGATGTCATAGAACTCATTTGGTTAGCTGAGATATGCAGTGTGTTAGACTTATTGTTCAAATTTTTGGAAATTTATTGATACTTCTCTATATAATTCACCTCCAAAATTCTCCTCCTGGAAACTTCTTTGAACATACATTACAATGATTATATAAGGAGAAATACAATAATAGATTTTTGGGGGGCAGATATCAGAGAGTTTAATCACAAGTTATAACAAATTGATACTTCATTAGTGAGGGAGAGGCTCAAACTTTTAAACTCAGAAGAAAAGCAAATTGTATTGAAAACCACCAGGTACAGAGGTCTGACTACAAGCTGATTTCCTCCACAATCTTGCTGCGGCCATAATTCTTAAAAATACCAGTAGCTAGTTATCATATTGCCAGTGCTGGGAGATTTACCCATGTAGGTTAAATGGAGAAATATTTTAAAAATCAGAACAAATTAGAATCCTTTTTGTGAACTATTTAAACTTTTCTTTGGAAGTGTGAACTTTGCAACTCAATTTTGTTTGTGTTTCCAGGTTCACAGAGCTTAATGGTGTCTTTTTTTTTTTTTAACTTTCCAGGTACCATATGCCTTCTTTATTCTGAGGAATTCTTTATTCCTATCTTGTCTTACCGTCACTCTCTCTCACTCTTTCTAATGAAAAGGAGTTCCCTTTGAGGGTTTTGCTTAGGCAGTAGGTTAAAGGGTTCAGAGAAAAACATGGATTTGCCCTTTAGATAGCTACACTAATTTCATTCTATCATGATGCTGCAACTTTGAGTAGTAATTCAGGGAGCAGCCAGGGGTCTTAAAGGGCTATATGATGTTGAGAAGTTCGCATCCTTCCCCGCAACGTGCCCGGCATTCTTTTAAAACTAACTCATTTCATAATGAAACTTCATCTGAATCATGCCTAAATAAAATGTAGCAATGCCCTTAGATATTTAGAGACATCTTTACTTTCTAATAAAGTGGTAAGAAGCTGAATACAGTTGACCCTTGAACAACATGGGTTTGAACTGCATGGGTCCACTTAAATGTGGGGATTTTTCAGTGGTAATTACTAGAGTGCTACATAATCTGCAGTTGGTTGAATCCACAGATGTGGAGGAACTCTGGGTATGGAGGGCTAACTATAAGTTACATGAAGATCAACCTCTTCCTTATTCAATGGCCAAATGTAGTTTATTTTTTCAAATAATTTTGAATAAATTTTTTTCAAAGTTGAAATTCTGATTAAAATTCTTATTTATTTATTTATTTTACTTAACAATATTGTATTGGTTTTGCCATACATTAACTTGAATCAGCCATGGGTGTACATGTGTTCCCCATCCTGAACCCCCCTCCCACCTACTTCCCCATCCCATCCCTCTGGGTCATCCCAGTGCACCAGCCCCAAGCATCCTGTATCATGCATTGAACCTGGACTGGCAATTCGTTTCACATATGATAATTTACATGTTTCAATGCTATTCTCCCATATCATCCTGCCCTTGCCCTCTCCCACAGAATCCAAAAGACTGTTCAATACATCTGTGTTTCTTTTGCTGTCTCACATTCAGGGTTATCGTTACCATCTTTCTAAATTCTATATATATGAGTTAGTATATGGTATTGGTGTTTTGCTGTCTGGCTTACTTCACTCTGTATAAGAGGCCCCAGTTTCATCCACTTCATTAGAACTAATTCAAATGTATTCTTTTTATTGGCTGAGTAATATTCCATTGTGTTTATGTACCACAGCTTTCTTACCCATTCATCTACTGATGGACATCTAGGTTTCTTCCATGTCCTGACTATTATAAACAGTGCTGTGATGAACATTGGGGAACATGTGTCTCTTTCAATTCTGGTTTCCTCGGTGTGTATGCCCAGCAGTGGGATTGCTGGGTCATATGGCAGTTCTATTTCCAGTATTTAAGGAATCTCCACACTGTTCTCCATAGTGGCTGTACTAGTTTGTGTTCCCACCAACAGTGTAAGAGGGTTCCCTTTTCTCCACACCCTCTCCAGCATTTATTGCTTGTAGACTTTTGGATAGCAGCCATTCTGACTGGCGTGAAGTGGTACCTCATTGAGGTTTTGATTTGCATTTCTCTGATAATGAGTGATGTTGAGCATCTTTTCATGTGTTTATTAGCCATCTGTATGTCTTCTTTGGTGAAATGTCTGTTTAGCTCTTTGGCCCATTTTTTGATTGGGTCTTTTATTTTTCTGGAATTGAGCTGCAGGAGCTGCTTGTATATGTTTGAGATTAATCCTTTGTCTGTTGCTTTGTTTGCTATTATTTTCTCCCAATCTGAGGGCTGTCTTTTCACCTTGCTTATAGTTTCCTTTGTTGTGCAAAAGCTTTTAAGTTTCATTAGGTCCTATTTTTTTATTTTTGCTTTTATTTCCAATATTCTGGGAGGTGGGTCATAGAGGATCCTTCTGTGGTTTATGTCAGAGAGTGTTTTGCCTATGTTCTCCTCTAGGAGTTTTATAGTTTCTGGTCTTACATTTAGATCTTTAATCCATTTGGAGTTTATTTTTATGCATGGTGTTAGAAACTGTTCTAGTTTCATTCTTTTACAAGTGGCTGACCAGTTTTCCCAGCACCACTTGTTAAAGAGGTTGTCTTTACTCCGTTGTATATTCTTGCCTCCTTTGTCAAAGATAAGGTGTCCATCGGCACGTGGGTTTATCTCTGGGCTTTCTATTTTGTTCCATTGATCTATATTTCTGTCTTTGTGCCAGTACCATACTGTCTTGATGACTGTGGCTTTGTAGTAGAGGCTGAAGTCAGGCAGGTTGATTCCTCCAGTTCCATTCTTCTTTCTCAGGATTGCTTTGGCTATTTGAGGTTTTCTGTAGTTCCATACAAATTGTGAAATTATTTGTTCTAGTTCTCTGAAAAAATAGTTGGTAGCTTGATAGGGACTTTTTATAGATTGCTTAGGGTAGTATACTCATTTTCACTGTATTGATTCTTCCGATCCATGAACAAGGTATATTTCTCCATCTATTTGTGTCCTCTTTGATTTCTTTCACCAGTGTTTTATAATTTTCTGTATGTAGGTCTTTTGTTTCTTTGTGTAGATAAATCTTGAATATTAAAGGAGCTTAGCTTTATTTTTAATAGTAGTATATCTAGGAAGAACAACAATGCTTATGATGATTATGGTGAAAATCACAGCAATGCATGTTATCAAGATTTATGAAATGTAAAGCACTACGCCCAGTAGTTAAAATGGATAGCTTTACTTACTGTATTCCTTCGGGACAAATTCTAGCATTATTTTCCTTTGAAAAGAAGAAATGGGAGGCTATATCATTTGTTTATATGCCATAGTCCCAAACATAATAAATGATAGAGCAAAACAAGTGTACTTTTGCATAAGAAGATTGTGAGTAGATCCAATGTCTCCCTGAGAATTCCCTTTTATTTATCAAGCAACATCACTTTCCTATAAGACTGTGTTTCTTTCCTCTAGATATCTTCTATGCTATTTTCACTTTTATTTCCTTTAATATAATTAAAATAGTCAAAATCTTTCAAACTGTACTGGTCAAAGCAAAAAAAAAAAAAAGAAAGAAAAAAAAATGGAGGTTAATCACAGAAATTCACACTAGAGAGTCATTAAAGAGATTCAAATTATAACTGATATGAACAGATTTATAAAAGCAGCATAAACAACATTATCTTTTATTTATACCAATAATGCCATAGATATTTATGAAACAACTGTTCATGAAAGCCAAAAAGCCTGCTGAGTTATATCCCTTTCATGTTGTTAATGCTCTTTTGCCCCATAATTTACACAGTTGCCATTTCATGTTCAGTTCAGTAATTCAGTTGTGTCTGACTCTTTGTGACCCCATGGACTGCAGCAGGCCAGGCCTCCCTGTCCATTGCCAACTCCCAGAGTTTACTCAAACTCATGTCCATGGAGTCAGTGATGCCAACCGACCATCTCATCCTCTGTCATCCCCTTCTCCTTCAATCTTCTGCCTTCAATCTTTCCCAACATCAGGGCCTTTTCAAACGAGTCAGTTCTTTGCATTAGGTGGCTTAGAGTTTCAGCATCATTTCTTCCAATGAATATTCAGGACTGATTTCCTTTAGGATCGACTGGTTGGACCTCCTTGCAGTCCAAGGGACTCTCAAGAGTCTTCTCTAACACCACAGTTCAAAGGCATCAATTATTCAGCAGGCCAGCTTTCGTTCTTTCTTTCTTTCTTTCTTTTAATTGGAGCCTAATTACAATATTGTAGTGGTTTTTGCCATACACTGACATGAATCAGCCATGGGTGTACATGTGTTCCCCATCCTGAAACCCCCTCCCACCTCCTCCCCATCCTTATAATCCAACTCTCACATCCATACATGACTACTGGAAAAACCAAAGCTTTGGCTAGATGGACCTTTGTCAGCAGTAATGTCTCTGCTTTTTAATAAGCTGTCTAGGTTGGTCATAACACTGCTTCCAAGGAGCAAGCATCTTTTAATTTCATGGTAGCACTCACCATTTGCAGTGATTTTGTAGCCCAAGAAAATAAAGTCTATCTATTTCTATTGTTTCCCCATCTATTTGCCATGAAGTGATGGGACCAGATGCCATGGTCTTAGTTTCTTGAATGTTGAGATTTAAGCCAGTTTTTTCAAGCTTCTCTTTCACTTTCATCAAGAGGTTCTTTAGTTCCTCTTCACTTTCTGCCATAAGGGTGGTGTCATCTGAGTTTCTGAGGTTATTGATATTTCTCCTGAAAATCTTGGTTCCTGCTTCTGCTTCATCCAGCTCTGCATTTCACAGGTTGTACTCTGCATATAAGTTAAATAAGCAAGCTTACCATATACAGCCTTGGCGTATGTTAATGCTCTTTTGTCCCATCATTCATAGAGTTGCCGTTTCATGTTATGTTCTCTTTAAAACATCTCTTCTTTTCCCTCGTACTATTGCTTTTTGATTGTCTGTCTTTAACATCTTGTAGTTATAAATTCTCATGTTATT